ATATTGAAATATTCTCAAATGTTGTATTGTGCTTCATTGAGTTGTATTTTCAGTGAAAAAATTTGTTGAGAATTTGAACAAAAATTGTAAAAAGGTTTTCACACCCTTCTTATTATTCTTGTAAAAGAGAAAGGTTTTGGGATAAAATCACTTGAGTTAGGTGAGACTAGGTACCGGATTCAAAACTAGTGGGGTTATTTTTGTGAGTGATTTTTTGGATAAAATCACTTGATTAGGTGTAATTAGGCACCGGGGTCAACAGTAGTCGGAGTGATTGGGTTTGATTACTTGTTGTAAAAGTTCACTAGCACCCCGTGAAGCTAGTAGTGTAATTACTATTTAAAAAATAGTGGAGAAATTTCAGAGAATGATACTTGGAGAGTGGACGTAGACCCAACATGCCGAACCACTATAAATCGTCGAGTTTGCTTTCTTTTCCCTTTACTCATTTTATTTCATTACTTTATTTTATATTGTTGCACAAATTTATTTGTTTATATATTGGGTTAATATTTTTAATTTAGCAATTTATTTAGAAACCCAATTCACCCCCTTGAGTTGTTTACCTAGGACATCAATTATATTTTTTACTAGATTAACTCAAATAATAGATAAAAAAATAAAAGTAAAAACAAATCTTATATTAAATTTAAAATCACATGTTACATATTTGTTAATAAATTAGATGTAATTATGTAAGAGATTAAAAAATATCATGATACTCTTTAATAAAAATAATATTAAAATATAAGAAAAATTACTAGGAAATCCCAAATTGAGAAATGTTGATCCATTTGGTCTTGCATTTTTTCTTATGAACCATTTGGTCCTATTTAATTGGCAAGGAATATTTTTCTTTGATTTAGCATGTGTAGAGTTTACATATTTACACTTTGGTGGGATTTGGTGTGATTCTTTTTGCTGATGTGTGTGTAATGATATAGAGGGTAATGTTTTACATTTCCATTTGTGTACGTTTTTGGTAGAGTGATCAACGGTGGGTTGATTTGCGATTGCTGATGCTGTTTTTCTTGTAACGTGGTAACCATTTTTTTGGATGTGTTTACTGTAAGGTGTTAATTAGATGGCATTATTGTACAACTATTTTTTTTTACCCCTGTCCACAGTATGTGTTTGGTGTATTTTTGTTGAACTGCCCAACTGCCCAACGTTCATCAGAAATTATAAGCGAATAACACAATTTCAGTATGGGGAATAACATGAACAAACATTCGTGGAATGTAAATAACGTTTCAATAATACGACGTGACACTTTTACATGATGATCGGTTACCAACATCCGGTTCATTCCCCGCTTGGACGTAGTTTGGTAATTAACAAGTGTGGTGTGCAATTTAACATTTCCCATTCAATGATATCTATGCAATGTCCACGTAACAGTGTTCATGACAATGTTGACAAAACAACATTATATATTAACCACCAAAAAAATATGAACCAACAAAATTATGCGTCACTAAACTAACAGCAGACACTTTGTGGGGGATCCGCTGCAGAGCGTTACCTGAAACAAATATTATGAAATGTTCATTAGATTGGAACGGCATAACATCGTCACAAAAACAGTGTGAACATTAACAAAAATAAACATGATAATAGTGATTTGAAATCAATTGGAATGAAATGGACAATGCATAATCAATTAATGTCACACCAACAAAGAAAAAAAAACAACAAATTGACACAAATGGCAACAAGTTTCATGGTGTGATGCAACAAAATACTAACATGTCAGCCAGTGTTTTCCATCGGATGAGTCGACCAAAATCATGTAACACCCTATTTGTTTTTCTACGTTTACCGTTTAACTTGGCACTAATGGCCAACATTTCAGTAAACACAATGTCACGATCACAATTCATCACTGCCACATTACGTAATACAAGAGCTATACGTTTAAACCAATATTTGTGAATGTGACACTTTAACGCACACTCACAACAAGCATTACTGTTTATCCACATGGCCAATCGATTCATATCCCTGACGTCAAAAATTTAATGCAAAAAAACAGGGCATCTGCTCACATCGCATGTTTTAGCAAACATGGGGTCATGACAACTGTGAGTCCAATCATCCGTTTCTGGGTATCTAACGAATCATAATTTCGCAACTTTCATCACATATATATTGAACGTTACAATCAAAAACAGGTACAGATAAAATAAATGATGCAAGTTTGTGACGTTGAAAGCAAACTAAAATAAAATACACCAAAATGGAGGACCAAAAATTTACATGCCCAAGCCTGTTGAATAAGAGACATATCTGTGACAATTTATGATAATATAACATAACACGTTATCGATCGCAAGTGAGGTATTAAAATATCAGGCCCATTCAACCAATATTTGCATATGTAAAGGTATAACACAAACGCAAACCCATCATCGTGATGTATAATCAGTGCCCTCTGCGGGAAATCAATGTTGGCCTCAACCACCAAATGTCATTTCCTGATGTAAAAAACAGGGGATGTTTGCCCCCAAAAACAGGGCTTCTGTCCCATTATACGTTCTTCTAAACACACCAACATTGAAACCCATTAACCAACACTACCTACACAACCAATCCCAATAACACCACCGACCGACTACTATCACAAATTCAAAATATTTACGTGTTTTGCATACATAATGTTCGCATACATACAATTTCCAAAATCTAATAGCAGACTGTGAAATTCATGTCAACACCAACAACCACAGGTCAATTACTAATGTAAAAAAAAATAGGACATTCCCAAAACCAAACAGTGCATGTATCCTAATATTCCAAACACCGACACATCGGACTGATAATTGATACAACTTCATACTTTTGTTGAACTGTGCAAAATTACCCAAATCCAACAACGTAAACCATACAAGAAACCCGTAATACCCCCAAAACCAACACCGAATCTGAGCACAAAATACCCAAAACCATAAACATTGGATTACCACACAAAAAATTGACGGGTATAACATTACGCACCTTTGCGTCCCATTGTCATTGCAGACAAATCAGTAAATGCCGGTGTCGTCGTACACCACCGGAAACACTACCAATGGCTGTGTAAATACCCTACCCGGAAAAGACGAAGTGACAATCTCGTTGACGTACAGTAGACTGTCAACGATGGGTTGGGGAACAAACGGCGGCCGTCGCGGTGTGGATTACTCCGATTAGGATTCCAAGATGATAGCGTAGATGTGGAATTTGGGGAAAACCCTAATCCTGAATTCCCTCAACACATCTATGGTTTCATTACACTAACATTAGCGTAGATGTGGAATTTGGGGAAAACCCTAATCCTGAATTCCCTCAACACATCTATGGTTTCATTACACTAACATGGAAACGGTGTAATGCGGGAATTTTGAATTCCAATCAGCGTCTATAGTTTTAGTTTTTTGGCTTAAATTTTTTGAAAACTAGCTTTTTCAGTTTTTCTGAGTTTTTTGGTTTTTTTTTTTTTTTGTTTTTAGCGAATATTTTTGAAATTATAAATATTTTTTTTATCTTTTTAGATGTATTTTATTTAGATGTATTTAAAAAGTAAAAACATTATGAAAAAATATTTTAAAAATTTAATAAATACAAAAAAATATAAAAAATGTACTGAATTCTCATATTTTTTTGTATTTTTGATATTTAGTGAATTCTTAAAAAGTTTTTTTAACAATTTTTTTACTTTTTAAGCATATTTATATTAGACATGTCTAAAAAGTAAAAAAAATTGTTTAAAATATTAAAAAAAATCAATAAAAACAAAAAAATAAGAAAAATAAGAAAGTAAAATTTTTTAAAGAGTGTTTTTGATAAAAACACAACCTAATCCTTACAAATACCAAAAGATTCTTTCCAAAATGAGGGCAAATTGAAAAAACCCTATATTGCGCTCCATGTCCACATTTGTAATTTCACCATCACTTAAAATCCACATTTGCCCTGTTGTGAACTTCAAATAGGTGCATGGATGAGGACAAAAATGCCACCATCTTTGTTTAAGGACTTTTCAGTTCACAAGAAAAGATGCGGGATTAATTGGTGCACACAACTTGAAATTTATTATGTTTCACCCTAAAATATATAATTAAGCTTTTATCATACAAATTATTTGTGTCAATTTCATATTATACAGATTTAATATTAACCCAACTTATTTAATATTCGTATTATCTGTGTGGATTTAAGGTGGCTGTGCGGAGTGCACAGCATAGCAGTTATTATTGTGCAGCCAAATGGACTTATTTCGATAATCTGAACCGTTCACATTTTAAAATACATAAGCAAAAAATTAAATTAATCGGATATCATTTACTCATTTATCCACTCACATTTTAAAAAATATATAAATGTGAGTATATAAAAGGGTAAATGTGAAAATATATATAAATGTGAGTATATAAAAGGGTAAATGTGAGTGGATGAGTGGGTAAACAATATCTGATTAACTTAATTTTTTACAGATATATTTTATTTGATATATTCTAAAATATGAACTGTTTGAGTTATTGAAATGAGTCCTAAAATAGACCCATTTGACTACACAACAATGACTGTTGTACACCCGCACAGCAGCCATCCCAAAACCTATTTGAGTTATATATTTCATGTCGGCCTTGTTTGGTTTGCTTTTGAGAGAGTAATTTTTGAGAAATTTTTTTAAAATTTTGTTTGGTTTAATGATTTTAGAAGAAAAAAAAAATTAAAAGTCACTTTCTCTCTCATATACATCAATTAATTATTTTTTCTCTGTTCTTCTCTCATCCTCAATCACTTTTTCTTTCACACATATCTACTCAACTACAACAAATCATATCAAATCATTACTCATATGATATTTTTTTTTCATAATACCTAACATTACTCATATCAAATCATCCCAAATTCTCATATTCCAAAATTATTTTCAAAATATACAATCAAATAAACCAAAAAAATATTGTAAAGTCTCTCCCAAAATTTTTTTAAAAAAATTTATCACCCAAACACCAAACCAAACCCGACACACCCGATCGTGTACGGTTCAAATCATCTTATTACAAGCTCTTCTTCCCTTCGCAAATTCACAGAAAAGAAATCAGCTTCAATGCAATACCTAAAATAATTCAGAGGGAGGGAGAGAGAAGGAAGCGCGCGAGGAACGTACGCTCAGAGAGAGAGAGAGAGAGAATGGGCGAGTGAACACCCTGTAACTGTAAGTGACCTAACTTTCGTCTATCAATTTTGTGGAGTAGCGATTGATTTTGCTTTAATTTGTATTACATATTTGATTTTTCATTATTATTTTAATTTAATTACAATTTATTTAATTAATCTGTTTTTTGAACATGGAATGATTTCGGGAAATCATGATTGTTGACATGGCTGTTTTGTTGACTAAATCATGATTTTAACAGAATTTTTTTTAAATATTATATTTAATTGAAATCTGTAATCACAATTATTTATTAAAGTTGTAAATAAATAGAATGGTTTGAAATTGCCCTATGTGATAATCAGCTGGTTGATCTAAGAGGTTGCATACAGAGATTGATATAATGTTGGGCTAAAAATTAAAATCAACTGTATTGCAGTAGATGCAGATGATTTTTTAAAAAAAAAAATTGACATGGTGGAATGTTAGTAAGTTAGTTTATATAGACCTCCGCCATTCCATTGGCCACTCGATTGACTCAAAACTCATCTTACTTGTACCGCCCGATCAGATAAAAACCTTACTAGGTAATGAAAAGCAATCCAGTAGCTGTAAAATTGTAAGAGGTGATGTTAAATGACTAGTTTTGAGGAAAAACAAATCAAATAAAAATTTATAAACATAATACGAGAGAGGTTGGACCGACTATTAATACAATTATGGGTTAATTACATTTTATCCCTTCAACTATTACTTAGGATCATTTGATATCCTTGAACTAAAATCACCACATGATCAATAAGACACTGTAAGATTCCTAAAATAGCCTCTTCCTCTCTACCTTTTTTCTCTTCCTCTATTATTATTTTTTGTTAAATGTGAGAATTTTATAAAACACAAAACCCAATCAGCAACAATAAGCTAGGGCATACCCCAAGCTAACATGACATGGTGGAATGTTAGTAATAAGTTAGTTTATATAGACCTCGGCCATTCCATTGGCCACTCAATTGACTCAAAACTCACCTTACTTGTACAGCCCGATCAGATAAAAACCTTACTAGGCAATGAAAAGCAATCCAGTAGCTGTAAACTTGTAAGAGGTGAAGTTAAATGACTAGTTTTGAGGAAAAACAAATCAAATAAAAATTTATAAACATAATACAAGAGAGGTTGGACCGACTATTAATACAATTATGGGTTAATTACATTTTACCCCTTCAACTATTACTTAGGACCATTTGATATCCTTGAACTAAAATCACCACATGATCAATAAGACACTGTAAGATTCCTAAAATAGCCTCTTCCTCTCTACCTTTTTTCTCTTCCTCTATTATTATTTTTTGTTAAATGTGAGAATTTTATAAAACACAAAACCCAATCAGCAACAATAAGCTAGGGCATACCCCAAGCTAACAAATACAACAAAAGGAAGTATATCCATGAAGGATTCTCGGGAAGTATATCCGTGAAGGATTCTCGCGGAGAAATCCCAAGAGCAAATAATAATCCGAGAGGTATGGTTATTCTCAATGTTATTCCAAGAAGTGACTCTCCATCTAATGTCCTCTACTTGGTTTCTCAGAAGATCTACCACACGATTTGCTTTGGTCTGGAACAATCCAGAATTTCTCTCTTGCAATATATAACGGACAACAGTACAAAGGGAAAGCTTGAACAACTTGTGTCGAAAATTCTTGCCCTTCCTATTCTGCACTACCCAGGAAACTAGCTGATGCATATCCATGTTCTGAATTGACACTCTATTCAAACATAAAACATCCCTCTAAAGGCTGCTTGCATATCTACATTGGAAAAATATATGTTCATGATTTTCATTATCATATTTGCAAAGCAAACTAATCATTTTTTGAGTAAGTCCCCATTTTCTAACTCTGTCAGGGGTGGACAGTCTACCAAGAATGGCCAACCAGCAAATAAAAGACCATTTGGAAACATTTAAGGGAAACCATACAATCTTATACCATACCAGTTTATCACCTGATGATGTGATCTAACAACTTGCCAAGCTGATCTTATAGAGAAAATACCATAAGAGTTAGGTGTCCATCTTAGATGATCCTCTTTGCTGCAGTCAGGTATCACGTTTGTAGGAGTTTGATTAACCATTAAGCATTCTAGGCCAATTCCAACCTTCATTGTTGATCATGCTACTCACTTTTGTATGCATATCTCACTCTATTTCCCCTATAAAATCCATAATCATGTTGGTGTGATTGAACCTTCGTGGAGGATTTGCCTTCTGCAAGAACCTTGTTTTCAAGACTTAGTAACGAACAACTCAATGATAAAATGTGATCTTGAGGGTAATTGGGCTCGTTATTATTGACGGATAAAGAGCTGCCCAAGGTCACTAAATTCATCACTACGGATTAGTTGTCTGATTGGTTGATATTAGAGTGGGTATATATAACTACAGAAAAATGCCATTTGGCTTCTGCAAATCATAAGTTCGGAGTGTAGGAGTGTCTCATTACCTTTTGAAGACAATACAATATTTGATTTTCACATCAGTAGTGTTTTTAAGTTGGTTAGGATGTCATTGGTGTAGATGGGTGGTCTTAGCTGCTACATATGAGTATATTTTTTCTTCAAGTATAGGTGGTGCTAGAAATGTGGTGAGGTGAGATGGTGGCCAAGGTAGGTAGTTTTTAAGCGAAAGGAAAGAAACAATGAGGTTATATTAGTTGAAGGCTGTAAAGTGTAATTAACCCTACAATTATTAAGATTATGAAGTTAGCAAAACACACACACACACACACTCAACATAGTACAAAATTTGCAATGAAAAGATTATGTGCTTGCTAAGAAAACAAACCCAAAAACAATACCAATACATAATTTATTTATTTTTTTGGAAAAATAGCACAGAATGTAGTGTTGACATGGTTATGTGAAAAATGTTCTAGTGTTTATAACATTACTGAAAAAAACCATTTAATCTAGCTTATGTTTTTAAATGACATCGATTTTAGAATATTGCCATCCCCAAACAGGGGACACCAGTCACACCACCCAAGCCTATTCTTAATCCATTTGTATGATCAAATTGTGTGGCTTGTAGTTTCTGGGATATGAAGCCCTACCTAGCTCAGGCCCAATCCCAACAAACTCTTATTTGGATTTGAGTTATTTTCTGTTTTGTCTAGTTGGTTGCTGGTGCAATGGAGTGACTGTTTGGTATTGATTTTGGCAATTAGAATTGATTTTATCTAGAAAATTCTAGCACACATGCCTTTTATTCATTTCATTCAATACAAGTATAGAAGAAAAAAAACACATGAGGCTTCATTTTTATCCCAGAGAAATAACAAAATTTTGAGCTTTAACCATTATTCTAAAAACCTTTATTTAATAAAACAATATATCTTAAAAGGTGATGGGTCGTTTTACACACAAAAAATAAACACTAAACTGTACCAAAATTCTTTAGTGCTCATTTGGCAATACAAACTTGGGCTAAATTAGCCACATCCATCCGAAATAGGCTAAATTAGCCACAAGAGACAAAATAGAGTCACGTGGATGGCTGTGGGTTCAGGCTCTGTGTAAATTACCAAATTACCCCCTTGCCATTCCATTTGTGTACAGCAACACCAAACCAAACCACACACTTTCCCTCACCTAGGGCTTTTTGCTCTATAAGAAGGAGGCGAAAATTGAAGACTACCATCGGCAAGAAGAACAGCAACTGAAGCTGTCCATAGCCCAAGCCCACCGGAGTGCACGTCGGTGGCGACACTGCAACCATTGCGTCCTCGCCACCACCGATCGTTAGGTACACAGATTTTGTTTTCATTTTGGGTCGATTTGATCTCTTGCAACCCGATCTGTTGGGGTATTCATTAAAAATTGAAATTATTGTTGTGTGGATGTTATTTCTTTATTTAGCATCTGAGAAAACCACGGTATGATTTGGATGTTCCATAAATTCTGGTGGAACACGTGTTTTGTTTTTGGTTAGAAATTTGATCTCTAAAATTACAAGATCCGTGGTCTGTTCCATTTTTTTGCTCGAACCCTTTGATTCTACACTCCGGTACATGCTGATTGATGGGAAATTTTGTCATTTTTTTTTTATTGCCATTCTGTACATGTCCTGTTTGTGGAGACTAGATTTTGTGAAGATGAAACATTATCCCAGTACATGTCTTGTTTTTTCCATTGTTTCCATTCTTTACATGTCCAAAATTATTGACTGAATTTCAAATTTTGTCAAAGATCAAACATGATTTTCTGTTTATAGACTGAATTTTAGTCTACAAAATTATCTGAAACGTGATGAGTTGAGAGATAAATACCTCTTTTTTTTTTTTTTTTTTTTCCTGGTTGTTGTTGAAGTTGGAAGCTTTATTCTTGTGGGGATTTGGATCCTCTCCATTTCACAGGGAAATAGTGATTCATTTACCTCCTACGATTATAGATTTCAAACTCTTTCTACTTCAACTGCATGTTTTGTGATCATAAAATTTGGTGGAACCAATATATCAATTTGTGTCTGTACAAATTATGTGTTACAATCTGATTTTTTTTACGGGAATTAAGATTGGTTTTTATGAAATAAGGCTAAAAAATATGACATTGACAATTTTTTTAATACTAATTTGAATCTATCGTTCACTTTCAGCCTGATGTCATTCTAATGTTCATCAGGTTTTGATTAAGATAATTGGTTCTTCACTCAGGTATTAAAGCAGACTATTACGGGTAAATGCTGAATCTATTAGATCAGTAATACATTATGAATTGCAGTACAATAAAACAGACTATTTGGTTTCATTTGTTATAATTTTTTAAACAAACTATTACAACAGACTATTAAAATTGGTTTTTAATTAAGATTGGTTTTTATGAAACAGACTATTAAAACAGATATTTCGTTTCATTTGTTACAATATTTGAACCCTACACATAAATAATATGAATTGCACTACAATTATTTACACGCTTCTGGTTTAGTATTTGTCTAGTTAGTTGTACTTGTCAAATTTTTTCCTTTTGTAAAGCCCCAAGTTTTTAGAAGCAAATGGGGACATTTGTCATTTTCTACAGAAAGAATTCCTTAACTATGAATTATGTCGCACCTACATGTTAACAATATTTGTTGTAGTAGTCATTTACACGGTCAGAAAACATACGAATGGCTTTTTTTACCTCAACTGCTACTTCCATTGCATGGCCACGTCGGATGTGTGCCTGTGGTTACCGTCATTGTGTTGTGAAAATATCCAGGTCGAACAAAAATGCAGGGCATCCATACTTTGCTTGTCGCCGCCCTGTGGTGAATGCCCAATTCAATAACGGTCATAATTGCATTTAATTCCAAACAAATTGACTGATAACTTCGTCATTTTCACTCGTCAGCCCTGTGTCAGTTGGATTGGTTGGTGCGAAGAACCAAGGAGATAGAGCACGGACTATGCGTCCTCCACAAATGACATTGTCATGCACTTGCGGGATGATGTTATACACATTCAACACTCGTTGCATCTCCTTAAAACCATTGTCTCTATGTTGTGAATTGTCATTGTCATTTTGTTGTTGTGTATGTAATCAAACGTTGCACTTGGGGTGCATGATTGTTGTAATGATGTTAACTGTAATCACTTGAACATCACCTTTGGTTTGTAAAATAGTTAGGGGGAGACGTTAATGACTACTTTAGTGAAACAAAATTATGACGTTAATGACTACTTTAGTGCAACAAAATCATTTAACAAGTGTTTGTATTCCTATGATCACTCATTCTGCATGAATGTTATGTGTTGCTATTCTTATTTTAATTACTGTGCAATGGTTATACATTGTGAACGTAGCAACCAATTATTTTTAATTACTGTGCAATTGTTATATATTAGTAATTCCCATGCAATTTTGTGATTGTGATCATGTTGGCTCGTAAATTACTTTGCATATATTTTTGGTCAGTCCAAATGGCTTCCATGCGTACTTCCCCTCGTACCCCTTCGAAAAACAAAGGCATTGCAATAGAGAAGTCTAGTAGTGTTGAAGAAACAAAAAAGCAGTTCAACCACAAGGCATCCTGGGATAGTGAGTCAACCCGGATTTTCTTGCAGCTGATTGCCGATGAGATTACAAAAGGGAATCACCCATTCCTAGTCCTAAGGCAAACTAGGTACAAGTCGTTGGCAAAGAAATTTGAAAAAAAAACTGGAAAAAAACATGGGCTGAAACAGTTGAAGAATAAATATATGAGTCTGAAAAAAGAATGGAATGCTTGGAGGAAGTTGATGGTTTCCAGCAAAGGAATCTCAAGGATTGGATTTGACAGCGAAACTGGTTTGTTTCAGGCGTCTGATGCGTGGTGGGATAACATGGAATCGGTAAGTAAATTTATATTTCCGCATGCTTGTTTTGTTTCATATTTTTTGATTACCATTTATATTTGTGATTGTTGGTAGTAAAATTTCCTCATATTGCATGTAGTAATAGTTTTTATTTACAATTTTTATTTTTCAGACAAACAAGGTGTGTGCAAAGTTTAGGAAAAAAACTTTGGAACACCGCAAGTTGATGGAGACAGTCTTCACAGGGACTTCTGCTACGAGTAAGAACCATTGGACCTCAGGAGAGACAGTAGCTGAACCTGCAACTATTTCATTGGATTCAGTTGACAGCATAGGATTGCGGCCATTTGTTGATCCTATCCCCGCATGGGCAACCGACGTGGATCAAAATTCTTCAATGGAACTAGTCGAAACTGCGATGAAAAGGAAACAGACTTCATTAACAAGTTGTGCAAAGTCGAAGAAGGCAACAAGTGGTGCATCAATTATAGCAGAAAGGATAAACAATTTGACAAACGTGGTTCGGACTCAAAATCAGCAAGTCATTGTCAGGCACCTCATTGGTAACGAATCACAGTACACAATTTCGGAATGCATGCAACGGCTTAGGGCCATTTCTTCCCTTCTCGGTACACCGCTATTCCATTTTGCGTCGACACTGATGGACAACGCAGATTACCGGGAGGTGATGATGTGCCAGCCCGATGACGACCACATTATTGGCTGGCTGACACAGAAACAGCTACAATGCGGTGTTGCTGCGCCGTTTGCGAACCTGTTCGGGGCTCGATGGGTGTGATAGCAGTTCTTGCAGCTAAATATGGCCTTCTCTTGTCGTTGATAAATTTTCATTACCGTGGATGTTAGACTTGTAATAAACAGGATGGTTGTCTGTGATATTTTTATTTTTTGTTTCCTTTCCCCCCCTCCCCCCACCTCTACATACTATTCCATGGTTGTGTGTGGTTTTTATGATGGAACAGGATGCTTCTATCTTGTTTTTATTAATCACTATGGCTGGCTGCCTTGTCATGCTTGTTTATTTATTTATGTTTTTTTTTTTGTAGCTTTGTGTACCATTATTTTGGTTGTGTTGGTAATGCAAACGACTACTTGTTGGTTTGTATATTACCAACTACTAGCCATGGGGACATTTTTTTATAATGAAGGAGTTCACTGTAGCACATTGCAGGCTAACGTATAGTCAGCATGATATATATCCATACGTGTGGTCTAAACGGAAATACCTACCTTTCAAGGTATGTCATTTTGCGACACAACTTAGTTAAGTTTACTTGAATGTTTGGAAATTATTTTGACGTGAAATGTAAAAAACACTGTTTTTGGTGTCATCAACATTCCACAACAACCATTTCATGTACACCTACAAGTAGTAAGATAATTGGGTTATTTCATTGACGAGATGTTTGTTCAAAATTTAAAACCAGAAGGGGAAGTAGTGCAAAGAAAATTGTAGGCAAAATTGCCATTATGTACCAAAACATTTTATAGTTTTTTATGTTTTTTTATTCATGTTGAAGTGTATGTGTAGATAATAGGGTTTTTGGCAGGACTGTATCGGAGCCATTGATGGAACACATGTTACAGCGCGGGTTACAGGGCCAAACGCTCCAACATATTTTGGTAGGAAATACTGTCACACCCAAAATATCATAGCAGCGTGCGATTTTGACATGTGTTTCACCTTCGTATCGCTTGGATGGGAAGGAAGTATGCATGATAGTCGCATCTTCAATGAGATATTCATAAATGACAATGTACCTTTTCACATCCTGAAGAAGGTCTCATATTGCTGAATCAATTTTTTTCGGTACATAAGATTTACCAAAAAACTCCAAAAAATTTATCAGGGTATTTACTTTGAATTGCAGGTAATTTTGTAGGCAAATTTTATCTTGTGGATAGTGACTATCCAAACTGCGTAGGTTACCTAGCACCATTCACAGACAATCGTTACCACCAACAATTTTGCATTATTGAAAGGCGTAGGACAGCAACCAACCCTAGGAAATTATTTAACAATGTTCATGCATCGTTACGGAGTGTGGTGGAACGCACTTTCGGCCCATGGAAAAATCGATGGGGGTTTATTCAAAATATGCCTCGGTATGATTTTGCAAATGTGCAAGTTCAGTTGGTTGGAGCGTCAATGGTGTTACATAACTATATATGTAGAAATACTAGCAATCTAACAACTGTTAACCCCATCTGCAATGAGGAAGAGGCTATGGCAATAGTAAATGGCATACCGGAAGTTGCATATGACAGGGATGGTTTAATGGCTGGGGATGAGGACTCCCATATGGCATTGGTGCGAGTTCACATACGGGACAAGTTAGTGTGCATGCGCAATAATGGAATGTTAGGAAATATATAGTTAACCTGATATTCATATGCATGTAACAGTGTTCAGCCACGGTCGAGATGTATGTGCTTATATTATATTATACAATATGTACGTGTTTACATGAAAACATGAAAGTACTATGGATTACATGCCTTATTTTGTATATTACCAACTAGCAGCCGTTTCTGTGTTTTCTTATTATGAGTTGGGTAAAAGGTAGCAATATGATTTGTACAAAATTTCCTTTAACCAATTGTGAAACACGTGCAGAGGTGATGTGTCTGAAAATAGATACCAAAAGGGAAATTTATGGGTTTTGTGTTTGTAGATAAATATTTTTAAAAACATTTGGGGCGAGAGTAACTGAAATTTTTTTGGTTTGTTTGGTTATATTTTGAAAATAATTTTGCAGTTTGAGAGGTTAGTATGATTTGATGTAGTTGAGAAGATGTCTGTTAGAGAACAAATGATTGAGAATGAGAGAGAAGAGAGAAAAAGTGATTGATTGATATGTAGGAGGGAGAAAGTAATTTTGGAAATTTCGTTTTCAAAAAATTGGAATGAAACAAAAATTTTAAAATTTTCCTCAAAACTTGCATCTTCGCATACAATTTTGTAGAAGCCCTCCTTTTTTTTTTTTTTTTAAGAAGGGTAAAATTCTCATTTTTCCCGTAATTATAAAAAATAAAAAATAAAAAAATTCAAGAAAACGAAAACACACGCATAGGTAAATGAAAAGCAAAGGGAACATGGTATGGTGAAGGGCAATTGGATAATTTTACAAATAGACACCTCACTAAAAAGTCAAAAAAAAGCCAAAAAGCCTATTCCAAACCAGACTTTTTAGCCCCAGACTAAGATAGCCAAAAAGTCAAAAAGCCAACTCACATCCCAAACAAACCTTTAGAATAACAGTAAGTCCAAGTATCGATCCATAGGGACAAATGTGAAATTGAACTAATTTAATTGTTAAATTGTTAAATTAATTTTGATAACAAGATGGATGGTTTATAAACTAACAATAATTAAAATGAACTAAGAAATTAATTTGACAATTAAAATTGAAGTTGGAGATATTGATTTTGGAAAAATCCTAGGGTTATGAATTCATCACTAGCTACATAAATAGGTTCTCAAATTGGAAATCAATTATGTTACGGTTCGAACCACATAATACTTCACAACTACAAGTTCGAAGCATTGATCAAGAGAATTATCACGTTCAATGTATAGGCACGAACCATCTCAAGTAATACGAGTCGTTTGCTCTAAGTTAGGGTAGCAACATGACTTATCTCTCATAGTATGGCTCGTCTCATACATTGAATATGAAATAATAGAAAATCATAGCATGAAAAGCATTCAACAATCACAGAAAGTAGAATACTTGAAGAGAATACTGAAAAATATATTTGAAAACTTAAACACCATATAACTTATTCAAACCATTACATAATCAAAAACTAAAAAGAAAACCCTATTTACTTGGCTAGGGTTTCACCAAAACTCTAGAAATAGAAGAACTGGCCACTCATGGTGGAGTGGGAAGAGGTAGAGGAAGAGAAAACCACCATGAGAGATATTCTTGAAGCTTGAAACCCTTCTCTTCAAACCCTAGCCCCTCCTATCCTTTGGAAATTTTAGAACCCTAATCCAGCCTTTTTCTGCCTTTTATACCTCCAGCTTTTCAAAACAGGTTCAAAACATTGGGCACAATTTTCGAGGTACGGCCGCATGTGCGGGAAATGCCACCGTATATGCGGCGAGGGTTCCACACGTGCGGGAAAAACCTCCGCACTTGCGATTTTAGTGGTCTCTATTTGGCTCCAATGGATGGGTCGTACGTGCGGGAAGCACTTTTCTATAGGAATGTAATCGGTTTGGTACGGTCGGTATTTAGGTAAAAAATTACACCGAACCGATAATGTCAGTTTTATTATTTTGAATACCAATACAAACCACTTCTCCCATCAAACCCCACTGAACCGAACAAATTGAAACGGTTAGGTTTGATGCGGTTTAATCAGTTTAGGATTTTTCAAACTTGAGCCACTTTTAAATATAATCATTAAACTACATAAAAACATTAAATTAGTTATTTGTCTACTATTTCAAACATATCCAATCCATCTATTTAATACATACTTTTCAATTCCTAAATTAACAAAAATAAAAACAAAAAAAAGTTTGAAAATACTAAGGTTTCAAGAATAATGAGTTAGAGTTAAGATTATATATAATAAGAGTTTACAAACTTAGGTTATAAAGATGATAAGGTTAGTTAATTAAGGTTAATAATTTATTATACTTATTAATATCATTATATTATTAGATTATATATATATTATAAATACAATATATGTTGAAGCGGTCGGTTTCGGTGATCAATGCACAAGGTGCTTAAACCGATACCGAATTGAAAATCGAAAAAAATCAAATTTAAAAATTTAAAAACGGCACAGACCGATTCTTGTTAAAAAAAAAAAAAAAAGACCAAATATAGCCGGTATGGTCTGGTTCAATTAGTTTGGTCGATTTTTTTTTTTATTTTTCTTACATCCCTACTTTTCTACTAAAAATACTGCGTTTTTGTTCATTCTATGCTTCCACCGCATCCAACTTGATTGACATTAAACAGACATAAAATATACAAATTGATTGGAGAGTAAGATTAAGAGATCCTAGTTAAAGGCCTTAATGATATACAATCCGACTTCAATCACATCCCCTAACTTACAACTTGCTAGTCCTCGAGCAAGGTATAAAGAGAAAAAAAATTAAACAAAATCTAGCTACCTCCTCTTTCGTGGGATGAACGATTGGATTTAGCATATGCAACAAGCTTTTAAACCACAAAGTTACCCCAAGTGGACGAGTATAGTCTCGTGAAGGTTTCCAGAAATGATACGCCCAAACATTAACATATTCATATCTGCCCAACAACAATTAACCACACTACTCCACCCAAGAATTAACTTATGTGCCAACTACAGTGCAATATTAAGACATGATGAGTTATTGAAGGCACAGTGGACAAGTATAAAGGAATCTATTAAGCAAAAACCACAATTCTGTAAGTCTCTTATACTTGTGAATGCTAATAAAACACATCATCAGTGCCCTCAGTGTAAAGTGCAATCCCCATAACTAGTTAACTGTCCACTATAATAGCCTAGTGTAACTCACAAAAAGACCCAACATATATAGAAAAAAATAAAAAAATAAAAATACTAAACTTTTTGCAACTAGGATTCTCAAAAAAAAAAAATTCTTTTTTTTTTTTCTCTAAGACCATTCAATGTCCTGATCCATTAAGTTTTCTAATCAACCCATGTAACAAGCAATGGACCAATGACACTCAAACCAAACGGTTTTAGGGCAGTAGGTGTAGAGACACCCCTACGGTCTTAATTAAAAGACTACGGATCCAAACAAGTCATTTTCCTTATTTTTCCTTAACTGTGCAATGTCTAGGTCCCTTAAGCTTTCTGATTAACCTATGTAGCAAGTATTAGGCCAATGACTCTCAAACCAGACGGTTTTAGGGTACTAGGTGTAGAGACATCCCTACGAGTTTAATAACTCAAGTTAAAGAGGTTACGAATCCAAACAAGCCAATGTTTTTATTTTTTTTATTTTTTATTTTTGAAGAATCAAGGCTACTCATTTATTCTTTTT